TCCATGGTGCTCCTATGGTGCTTCCACGGCGTTTCCCACTGCGCTCCGTGCGCACCAGCTCCCGCTGCCAAGCTCTCCTGGGGGTCTCCCCGCACAGCTCCCCCCACTACTCACAGGAGGGGTCCCCCCTCACAGCCCACCTCGCACCCACAGCAGGGGTCCCCCCTCACTGATCCCCTCCGTAGCCACAGGAGGGTCTCTCCCCTCACGGTTCCCCCCACACCCACAGGAGGGGTCCCCCCCTCACAGCCCCACCCCGGACCCACGGAGGGCTCTCCCTCCTCACAGTGCCCCCCGCCTCCCCTCACCCGACTCTTCGTCCTTCTTGTCGAACTTCTTCAGCATGGTGCTGCCTCGTTGCGGCCCTCCCGCCCCGTAGCAGTAGCAGTCCCAATCCCGGTCCCAATCCCGATATCCCGGTCTCGGTCCCGGCACCTCCCCTTCCTGCCAGCCTGTCACTGTCACGGCGGCGGCCGCATTGCGCACGCGCCAACCCGCCCCCCTGACGTTGCTCGCGGGGGCGAGCAGGAGGGGAGGGGCGCTATGGCTTGATTGACAGGGGAGGAGGCGGGACCGGGCGGCAAGAGCGCGGTGTGATTGGCGGAGAGGCGGGGGCGGGGCCAGGGATCTTGGAGCTACCCTGGTTCTGGGGTTGTGCTGGGAATACTGGGGGCACTGGGAGTGGGGTTAGGGGGGGCACACTGGGGGACTGGGCCTGGGGCAGGGGGCGCTGGTACCAGAGGAAATACTGGGACTGGGGAGGGGCCCACCGGGATTCTTGGGGAGACACTTGGCAGGGGAAGGGCGGAGCGGGACACTGGGCAGGTGAAGGGACACTGGGGACAGAGGGGGCTGGAGCGTGGGGTCACACTGGGATTGGGGAGGGGAGATAGGGCGCTAGGGCAGTACATGGGAAGGAGATCCTAGCAGGAGTTCAGCCCCCCAGGCGGCAACTGGGGGTGGTAGAGGGGAACCCCCTTCTCGGGATGGGCAGTTGTCACCCAGGCTGCCTGCCCTGGAACATCCTGCTGGGTTACACTGCCTCTGGAAGCATCTCCTGGGCCCCCTGTACCTTGCTACCGGCAAGGTACCTTGCTACCGGCATCCTGTACCTTGCACCCACAAACCCCAGGCCCAGCCCCGGAGCACCCACCTGCTGCAGTGGGGTGTCCTCAGGGGTCAGCGCTGCCCGACCATCCCCCGAGCCCTGAGACAGGCAGGGACGACAAAGGACCTGTTGGCCACCTCACCACCTCACCCCAACCCACCATCTGCTGGCACGTCCCTTCACCAGCTACTGAAATATGCCCCTCCCATGGAACGTGTGGTCACCTGAGTTGCTTGGGCCCCCTTTCCAAAGCCAGTGCCTGCTCCAAGGCCAAAGGGCTCACTCACCCTGCACCAGGTATTCCTCAAAGAGCATGGCCGTGTCCCCCACCAGCTCCAGCGGCCCTCCCACAGGTGTCCCCCGGCCTCTGCCTTGCCTGCACCACCCTGTACTTTGCACGGGGCGGCTACACTCTGCTCCGTGCTGCTCTTATCTCCCATCTGTGCCGAAGACAGCAGCTCTGGTGGCACAACACAATGTCCCTGCTAGTACAGAGCTGCTGTGAGCTCCCTGGGCCAGGGGCTGGCCCCACTGCTGGTGCTGCTGACACCCCTCATTTGGAGTTTAATGAGTTCCTGTGCTGGATCCAGCCCAAAACATGCCCTTGCTGCAGCTTTGGGGAAAGGGAACATGAAATGGGGGTGTAAAGGGGTGCAGAACCAGTATAAACCAAAAAAAGTTGCATTTGATGCTGCATTTTATTGTGCACGCTCACCAACTCCAGCTCCAAGGCTCAGCCAAGCTTTGTGGAGGGTTTTGTGTGCTGCAGTCACACAGGGAGAAGCAGCACACAGGAAAAGATGCCTGGCTGGATGCAGCCCCTTTGGAGACATCCCAGTGGTGGATGAGCAGGGAGCAAAGCCAGGCACAGAAATCCCCGTGGTTCCTGAGGCTGGGACTTGGCTGCGCTCCAGCATTGGCCTGGGCAAAGGCAAACCCGGCTGTGTCTTCTCCAGTGGTGCTGAGGTGATGGTTGTTAGACCAAATCCTACCGTGGCTGCTGCTTGTGCCATGAGCACCGGGACTAGGGGGATGAGATGTGTCCGCAGCCCCCTGCAGGCACACCAGTGCCACTCCACACTTCCCTCCGTCTGTGCCCCTGGCAGCCCCGCTGCCCTCTCTGGTCCTGCCTGAGCAGGCATGTCCCAGCCAGGGGAGTTCATCTCCTGCGCCCGAGCTGGGCCATCAGCTCGGCATTGGCGGCCGCCTTGTCCTGCTGCTCCTTTTCTCTGGCCAGGTCGAGCAGGATCTCCAGTAAGTGTGTGTGGACATCAAGTGACAGGGACACCTTCCTCCCCTTTTTCCTGGGAGCAGGTCTCTTCGTGGCTGGGCTCGTCGGCCAGGGCAGTGCTTTCCTTGCTGACCCCTCTGGCAGCAGCGGGTTGGCTTTGTCTGGATGAGACCCTTCCCCAGAGCCAAAGTCGCCCCTCCTCATTTTGGGGAGAGCTGGCAGCATCTTGTTAGTGCTGGTGGTTTCCTGGCTGGTCAGGTTACCTCCATCCCCAGCTCGGGGGGCTGGTGGGAACCGCTTGAGTTTCAGTTCCTGTCGGGCTGTTGCTGGTGCCCCGAGGACCACCAGGAAGATGAGCAGCATCCTGCCTCGCAGCACGGCTGGGAGTGCCTGCGGGGAGCGCGTGGTTGAGCATCACCCCCCCATCACACTGCCATGGCCCCACAGCCCCCCCAGGAGGACACATCCCCACCAGGGTGCCACATGTAGACCCTCCCTACTCCCCATGCCAGCTGGGGGTGGTTCACCTCCCTTTTGGGAACCCCTAGTTTTTCCACCCTGATTTTAACCTTTTAAAACAGGGCAGGAAGTTTTGAGGAGGATGAAGGGGATGTCGGAATCAAATCAGTGGGGTGCCCCTGTCCTTTCCCACAGCCCCTGGCCAGACACTGGCTGTTAGCTCCATTTCACTCTCCAGCCCTTTGTCACCCAGGGTAGGGGACATTCCTTCTCAGGAGGCTGCCCTGGGAGTATGGCTGCTCCCCAACCCATTACTGCCCTTTGGCCAGGGAAAGGTGACGTGCCGGGGATTTTGGGGCTGGGCAGGCTGTGGGGCTTTCTTCCTCCCACGCCTTCCCACAGGGTTCCTGGGCTCTCTGGGGCAAAAGCCAAGCTCCCTAGGAGAGATATGAGCCACCTGGCCCAAAACACACAGCAGATTGGTGGCAGTGGGGTGACAAGGGCATGAGTTGTGCTGAGCCTCTACCCCATCCCTCACTCTGGTCCCAAGGAGGGCCCTGGGGGTTCTAGGGTGCTGTGATGGGAGGTGGGGGTCAGAGCAAGTGCAGGGGCACTGCCACACAAATCCTGCTGTATTGGTGCCTCTCCCCCAAATCAGTCACCCAGTCAGGTTTGTCCAGCTGGAAGGAGAAAAGTGAAAGGCATCCAACCTGCTGCAACTTATCTCCTGGGTGAAACCCTTTGGAAAGTCCCTGAGCAGGTAGCCAGAGGTGGTTTAACTCACCTGGAAGTGGGCAATGAAAAACATCCAAACCCTTGTAACCCGTTTCCCAGCTAAAAGCCCCTGAAAAGCACCACTGAGGGCGCAGCCTCACCATTTCCAGCAGGTCCTCGTCTCCCCGATGCTCAGGCAATGCTCCTACAGTGCGGGGACCACGAGCTGGGTATTCGCCCTGCTCCCTGCCAAGCCCTTGCTCTTATCCTGTCCCAGCTCCACCTCTGACCCGCAGATGGGGTGACGGTGACATGGGGAGGGGGGAGGAGGGAGGAATGTTATTAATACATTTTGCCTAATAGTAGATGAAATCATCCCGGGATGTGGGTGGGCGTGTGCCCCCTTGCAGCTCCGTGAGCTGCATTTAGAGGGGGTTCCAGGAACCTGGGGCATCTCAGTCATAATTGTTTCATGTCTGATTTGTGAGATGTTTTTTCTCCATCTAATTAGGCCTGTCAGACTTCCTGCTCCTGTCAGCCTTAAGGAAGGGAGAAAACATGCATACTGGTGCTGGCCAATGGCCATGGCACTGGCTGTGAGTGCCAGCCCTCTGGGCATTGTGCCTCAGGAGGCTCCTGGATATCTCCTGGTACTGGTCTGATGCTGTGCCCTGATAGACTTCCTGGCCCTGGCCAGCTGGAAATGTCACCTCCCTGCTGTTCCAACTGTTTTGCAGCCCACCTTCACCGAGTCTAACTGTGATGCCACCAGTTTGCAGCCTACCTGTACCAGTGCAGTCTGGCCCAGCCCCTCTACCAGCTGCCCGTGGTAGGTAACAGCCTGTAGGCATTGCTGTGGGGTGAGTCCCACATGGAAGGGCTTTGCCCCAAAGCCCCCTGCTTAGGGACTGTGGGAGCATCCCAGGTCTCTCAGGCCAGACAGGAACCTGCATGAGATGAGCTGTTGAGTGCTCAGCCCAGAGGGCTGGCCAGGGCAGGGTGCTCTGGGTTCAGACCACTGGGGGTCTACCCACCCTCATGGCCACAGGGTGACCGGTCCTATGCAGTGGCCCGGAGTGGAAATAATGCTAGCTCTGTTCCTCCTCCTGGGGACAGCCAGGAACTCACACCCAGCAGCCAAAATTAGCACTGATTCACACAGCACATCATGCAGCACCACAGACTCACGTGCTGACACGTCAGGGCCTGGACAGGGGTCATGGCCTGGCTTGCGTCAGCTGGGCATGTGCTGGGCACAGGGATGGGACACTGGGTTCCCTCAGGGGGGTGAGGAACCCCAGCCAGCGCTGCCAGCAATGGGCAGCAAGAAAGGGCAACCCAGCTGGGGTGGGCAGGGGGCATGCCTGACTCAAGAGCCATCCCCAAACTCCACAGGCATCTCCAGCAATGTGCCAAGAAGCATGACACCTCCCTGTGAGCACAGCTTTAATATCACATCCCACTCACATTGGTACACATATACATTCGCTGTATACAGATATACACAGAGAGCAGCGGTATGTGGGGGGGCCACAAAGCCCCCCAGCAGCCCCTCAGGCCCTGGGGCAGTGAGGGGCACATTCCTGTCAGCCCTGGGGTTGGGGGGAGGCAGGGGCTGTGACCCCGGGAGCCGACATCGCTTTCACAAAGCCTTTGAGAGTAAGCGTGGGCAAGCAGGAACCTCTTCTAACATAGCACCATCCTCAGGGTTTCCCTGACGGGCCAGGGATGCAGGTGAGTACCCCCCCAACTACAGACTGATGTGCTGCTGGCAGTCATGTGAGCTGGGGGGCAGCACATGGAGAAAGCCTCCAGTCTCCCCACAGGTCATTGCCAAACCATCGCAGCCACAAAAGGGGAACTGGGCCCCAGCTGACGTTAAGGTGAAATTTATTCAGATGGAGCTGGTTGCAGGGTGGGGGATGATATGCAGGGGGGTACTGTCTGGCCCAGGGATGCAGGCAGCTCTCCCAGCAGAGAGGGGAGGGGAGCCCAACCCTGCCAAGTCCTTCTGGGCTGCCAGAGAGGGGGGACAGGGATAAGAACCATCCTGTTGGCAGCAAATAATTTAAAAATCAAACTGGAACAGCCCAGGAAACCTCTTTGGGGTTCAGAGCCTTGGTGGGAGGTGGTTTCCCATTTGATATAAATTTCACCTTAATGACAATAAAAGTGGTGTGAAATGAAAAACCCATGAGCAGCATAAAGACACGTTAGAAATAGCACCAGGTTCCTGCCAGGGGCTGGTGGGTACGTGGTCCCCACCACCACGGGCAGCCCAGCCCCAGCTGGGGTGGCAGCCGGGCCCCACCTCCAGGCAGCCCTGCCTGCCGGGACACTGCCCACACCTACACCTTTGGCTGCCCTCCCGTCTTGCCACCGGCAACATCACGGGCACCTGTGGAGAGAGGCAAGGTGGTGTCAGAGCCGAGGTGGGGGACCAGCATTGTGCCCCCAGCTCTGCACTGCTGAGCCCACGGCACCGGGTGGGGATGCTGCCAGGCCTGCCGGTGCCGGTGGCTGTGCCAAGCCCTGCCTACCTGCCCCTGGGCGCTGCCTGCAGTGCAGCTCACACTCCTCCTTGCTGTCGAAGCGGTTGAGGTTGCCCTGGCAGCCGCTGTAGACAAAGGGCCGGCACTCAGTGACTCTTTGGTTGTAGTACCAGCGCAGGGTGTAGTGCTGGCAGTGCCCCTCATCCAGCGGCAGGCTGCAGGGCTCAGCTGCGGGGGTAAACAGTGATGGTGAGGGCAGGCAGGAGCTGGCAGCACACTGGCCGTGCAGGCAGCCAGGCACACTTGGCAGAGGAGGGGAAACTCCAGAAGGGGAAGGCAGGGGATGGCTCCCAGCTGAGCATGGGCAAGGTTTGGCTGGAGGGGGCATCTCTGTGCTCTGCCCAAGTGCTGGAAGTGAGGGCAGGAGATGCCGCTCTGGGCAAGCCCTCTTCCAGGGGCAGCCAGCAAAGGCTGGAGATAAGAGCTGGGAGGGAGGTGGCATGGCCACAGCACACCTTGGAAGGGTTGTGGGGGGACCCTCTGCATGCTGCTGACGCTGGGGCTTCCCTGATCTCCTGGGGCCTTTGAGATCCCCTCCTGCAGCTCATGACCAGGAGCACAGGAAACCTGCCAGGGGCAGCAGATCCCACAAGCACAGCAAACCACCCATCACTGCTGGTGATGGCTTCAGCAAGGGGAACAGAGTGTGAAGTCTGCATGGCATGTACAGCACTGTGCTCCGATGGGGACGGCACAACGTACCGAGATACCAGCAAGAGGGCTGCAAATCCTAAATCCCCACAGCCAGAAGGCACAGGGACCCACTGCCAGGCAAAGGCCTGGGGCAGCCCCGGGGTCACCCCAGGTCATCCTCAGTGTCAGGGAAGCTCACCATCCATCGCAGGTTGCTCCGAGCTGTCCATCTCTGGGGCCTCATCGTAGTCCTCCTCCTCCCCATACATGCTGTCGTACTCGAGGTCATCGGTGTCGAGATTGATCTCCCTGTCCTGCCCTGGGAGACAGCACCAGGCATGAGCAGCTCTTGCCACACATGTGGAGCAGGGAAAAAGGAGGACAGGGAGATGACAGACCCTCCTCCTCTTCAGTGTGTGACAACTTGAGCACAGGGACTGTGTGAGTGCTGCCAGCAGACTCTGTGAAGGGGAAGAACACGGCACAGGCATCAGGGAAGAGGTGAGGGAGTCTGGGGCACTTTCCCCTTCCTTCCCAGGGGAAACCCATGCCTGTCAGGTGCAGGGCAGTCCAGCACTACCACAACACTTCTGCAGCCTGACAGGATACATGGACAGGGGTTGGGGACCTGGGAACACCCTGTCCTCTCTGTGCACCACAGACCAGGGCTGCCAGGGGCTTCTGGAGGACGGACAGGCAGGAGAGGTCCGGGGAGACAGCACCCACTTGGAGCCCAGCAGGATGGGGACAGGGGAGGGCACAGGCAGGCACACATGCCCATGGGGCCAGATCTTGTAGGTCCTCTGGGCTCTCCATCACCTGTTTGGCCATGCTCCCTCTCCTGGCGAACGATTCTTCCTCCTCCCTGGGCAGAGCGGAAGCTGCTCCTGGTCTGAGCCCCCCAGCCTCCTTGGAGAGAAAGGACCCACCTCATCCCAGCCCACCCCTTGCTTCCATCCCTCCAATCCCACTCCTCCAGCCCACCCTCCCCTCCAGCACTCCTGACCCCTGAGAGATCCCTGCCCCAGCTCTGACACCCAAGCATGGATGGGGTGCAGTCCTCGTGGTCCATTCACAAATGGGCAGACCCTGGCAGCGCCCAGACCCCACTGGTACCATCCCAAGCCAGCTGTCCTTGGGGATCCCTGCTGAACCATCACTCCTGCCACACACCATCCCTTCTCCCTGTGCACGCTCCCACATGGATGCTGACCCTGACTGAGGGGGTCATGGAGGGCCCAAGCCACATCCAGCTCCCCAAAACTGGCGGCACACCTGGGTGCCAGGACCCTTTGGTGCCACACGTGCAGGGCAGGGAGGTAGAACAGAAAAGCCACAACCTGAGTGCTCACGTGAATCCAGGTGTCGTGGGAAGTGGCCGCCGCAGGCTGTGGGAGAGACAGGACGGGGGTCAGGGGCAGCAGGGCCAGACCTCCAGCCCCAGGGCAGCAGAGGGGGTGCTCACCACAGTGCTGGCTCATCTCCTGCCTGACAAAGGCACGGATCTCGTCCTCCTGCCAGGCACATGGAGGGGCAAAGGTCCCACATTGCAATAGGGGATGGTGCAATTAAAGAGGAGGAAAAACCCTTTCCCCAGGCCCCAGCAGAGCCCGGAAGTGGGGGCAGCCCCTCCATCAGTGGCAGTGGGATCAATCCAGCACCCCTTCCCACCCCAGTGACCCAAGTGCCATGAGTCTATGCTGGCTCCCTCCTGGTTCCTTACCGTCAAGCCCGGCTCCCCCTTCTCCCCACGGAGCCCACGGGTGCCAGGACTGCCCTAGGGACAGTGGAAAGAAGGTGGGACACTGGCCCTGGCTGGGGCTCCACCGGGCAGGGCCAGGGACCCGCTCACCCACCTGCTCTCCTCTCTCACCGGGGATGCCAGGAACACCACGTGCACCCGGCACTGACTGTCCAGGGGGGCCTCTCTCCCCCTGCAAAGGACACATGCTCAGGATCTGGCTGGTAGTGCTAGAGTCTCTCTTCTCTCCTCAGCACTATGGATGTGCTGCTTTCCCCACCCCTGCACCCCGGAGGTGCCTGTGCAGGCTGGGATGGGGATGGGTCCAGCTCACATCAAGGACAAGCAGGGTCGCAAACCCCTCAGGCTCCTATCCACTGGGTAGGGGGACACAAGGGAGGACCCCAAAGCCAGTGATCTGACAGGGCAGGACAGAGCCGAGACATAACTTCAGATGCCACCAATCCCTCATCCACTCAGGGGACTGGGCCCTCCCTTCCTAACAGCCCCCAGAGAGGGACCAGCCACCCATGGTAAGGACTCACCTTCTGGCCCTGCATGCCCTCAGGACCTCGTGGGCCAATGTTCCCTGGGGGGCCAGGGGGGCCAGGAGCACCATCATTACCCCGGGGACCGGGGCCACCAATAATGCCAGGGGCGCCCTGCAGGAGAGCAAAGGGTGAGACCAGGGGTGTCAGAGACCCTGACCCCAGAGTAGGCACCATGGGCATCCTCTGACCCCACAGCTGGGCATCCCTGAAGCACCGGCACTGGTGCCTTCTTGTAAAGAGCGGGGAGAGTTTTTGTCACTCATAGTTCAGTGATATAATTTAGAGCAGTGCCAAATGACTCTTCTGGAAGCATCAGGCTCTGATGTGCTTCTGACCAAGGCCATATCCTGGTACAAGCAATGAAGTGCAATGCATCCCATCTCTTTCCAGCTCACTCACCCGGTCTCCTTTCTCCCCCTGATCTCCTTTAGCACCCTGCTGCCCGTCAAATCCCCGGTCACCCTGCAAAGAGGAAGGGACAGGCAGCAGGGGACAGGCAGAGGGGGGGAGGCTGAAGTGCCAGCACAGCTTTTCCCAGCACTGCTCTGACCTACCTTGGGTCCCATGAGCCCTTCCTTCCCGGGGATGCCCGGTGGTCCCGACAGACCCAGCTCTCCCTGGGGGACAGAGCAGATATCCGGCAGCCATCGGCCATGTGCTCCTGTCCCACCCTGGTGTCAGTGAGGTACTTACCGGCTCACCTTTCCTCCCTGACAGCCCTGAGCGCCCCGGGATCCCCGGATCCCCCTACAGCAGGCAGGAGAGAGGCAGAGCAGTCAGTCCTGCACCCCTCAATGCTCACCCCAGAGCCACAGGCTGAGGAGGGGACCTCATGACCCTGTTGCAAGGTCAAGGTCCAGCCTCAGCCATCTCCCTGCTCCCACTGGCTGGTGGAGGGGATCCAAAGGGCCACAGCCTCCAGGTAACATCCAGGCTCCTGCAGCACCCTGCAGGCACCCACTCACCTTCTCACCCTTCTCCCCACTGAGGCCACAGGCACCTTTCATGCCCCGTTCACCCTGTGAGGATGAGGAGGGGAGTCAGAGCTACGCCACGCTGGCACTGGTCCTGGCCAGGAGTACACCAGCAGCCAGAGAGGACAACCCACCTTGAGGCCACGCATGCCCACGGGTCCCATGTCCCCCTTCTCTCCCCGAGCTCCAGGGATCCCATCACGGCCAGGCTGACCCTGTGGGAGAGCACATACCATGACAGGGGTCCGCTCCTGTCCCACAGCAGGGTGGCAGCAGCACCAAGATGCAGCTCCTCACCGGCTCACCAGGCTCTCCCAAGGCTCCAACCTCTCCCTGGGGAAGGCAAAGGCATCGGTCAGGGCAGGCAAAGGGGATGGTGCCACCAGCAGTGGGGTATGCTCAGCTCCTTACCTTCTGCCCACCAGGGCCGCGTGCCCCAGGAAAGCCCGTGGAGCCCTTCTCGCCTTGCTCACCCCTCATCCCCTGCAAGAAAACCCCCAGATCAACACAGGACAGAAGGAAAAGCTCCAGCCACTGTGTGGCCACAGTACAGCTGTGGTCACCCCTGAGGCTGAATCCAGCAGCTCCCCTTGCACCATGTCAGGGTGCCCAGAAGCATCAGCCCATGGGGCACAGGGATGCCGTCATGCCCTGCTCTTTCTGTTCAACATCCTGTCAACAGCTCTCCATGGTCCCCAACCCAGCCACCCCCAGTCCTGCACAAGTCTCCCCAGCCCTGTACCTTCTCTCCAGGCATGCCTTGCTCCCCCTTGTCCCCCTTGTCCCCTTCTGTGCCCTTCAGGCCTCGGTCTCCCTGCAAAGGGGGAAACACAGGGAGGGGTCAGGGAATGGGGACAAGCTCAGACACACATGAGGGTGGGGGGACAGATTCCCTGTGGGCAGGGACAAGGGAGTCCATAGCCAAGCTGAAGGAAAAGAGAAAATGTGCTCTGCAAGGGAGGGTCCCTCAGCAGGAAGAAGTTCCCTCAGCACCTCCCAGAGGGATAGTGTGGATGGGAAGAGGGAGGTTAGGGACAGCTCTTACCGGCTCCCCTTTGCTGCCCCGTGCTCCAGGCGGCCCCTCCACCACCACAGTATCGCCCTGTACACCCAAAGGAGAGAGAGAGGTGGGGATGAGCAGCAGGGTCAGGGCTGCTGTCTGCTCTTCCACTGCCCCCCCTGCTCCAGGGACTCACCTTGTCTCCTTTTGGTCCTGGGGCCCCAAGGTCCCCCTGTGAGGAAGGTGAGATGCTGCAAGCATGCACAGTGGGGAATAGGCAGCACCTCCCTGGAGGCCCCAATCCCTGGAGGTGCATCATTTGCCCCCTCCAGTTCCCCAGCCCACAGATTCCCTTACCTTGTCCCCACGCTCCCCCCGGTTCCCAGGCAAGCCCTGTGGGAGAGAAGAGAGGGTTGGTTAGGGAGGGGCCTGGACTGGGGTGCAGCTGGGGAAGGGAGGTACTTACCACTGGCCCACGATCCCCTTCTGGCCCTGGACGCCCATCTTCACCCTGTGGGAAGGAAAGGATGTGAGAAGGGGGCTTGGAATGGGGGCACTCCAGCATCATCTCACCCCAGGAACAGGTGCAGGTCTGGCTCAGAGTCTCCTCAGGGCTGACAATGTGGGATTTCTTGTCCCTGTCTGTGGGCACACGGGGGGCTCTGGCAGTACCTACCCGTGGCCCTGGGTCTCCACGCTCGCCTCTGGCTCCTGGCAGCCCAGCCCCTGGAGCGCCCTGCCGGGGGAAGGCAACAGCTCATACCTGTCCTCCCAGCCCTGTCATGTACCCCCCATGCCAGGGAACACTCCACAGTCCCCAGCATCTCCCCGAGTGCCTGGCACTTCTTCAGGCTCCCATGTGCCACCATTCAGAGTGGGCTCAGCACTCTCAGGGGGGAGGTGGCTGCAGGGACACCCCACAAGAGGAGCAGCATCACACTCCTCATGCTATAGGGTTGTCCCCATCCTACCTTGTCACCCTTCAGGCCAGGGGCCCCTTGTATGCCCTAAAAGAAAGGAGAAGGGTGAGCAAGCCACAGGAGGAAGACACTGCCAGACGCACTGCGAAGCATTCCTCAGACTCCCACAGTGGTTCTCACCCAGTACCAGAGACCCTGGCAACCCCCAGGCTCAAGGGCCAGGGAAGTGCAGGGTGGGTCCCTGTTCCCCTGTCTGAGCCAGCAGAGGAGCCAGGGCAGAGCCTACAGCCCCAGGACTGCTGTGGCACCATACTCACAGCGGGCCCTGGGGGCCCCACAGGTCCTGGTGGTCCAGCAGTGCCATCTCTGCCTGGAAAGCCGATCAAACCCTGGCAGGGAAAAAACAGTGAGTGGGCAGGGACTGTGGCTAGGAGGCAGTGGGTCTTGCAGGGGCCTTGCTGACACTGCCCAAGGGTCCAGTGTCACCAGGACCAGGTTGTGGTTGCAGTCTTTACCCTCTCTCCTGGGGGACCCGGAGGGCCAGGCTGCCCATTGTCCCCTCTCAGGCCTGGCTGTCCTGGCGTCCCAGCAATGCCTGCTAAGCCTGGGGGTCCTGGTAATCCTGGCAAGCCAGTGTCCCCCTGAATCAGGGAAGAAAGAGATGGGGCCCATGAAAGCAGCCCCTTAGGACTGTGCTTTTCCCTTGGCCAGCCAAGCTAGGGCATCACCTGGGCATTGGGGATGTGATGAGAGCCAGGGTGACATGGGGACAGGAATTACCTTCAAACCTGGAGGCCCATCCTGTCCTGGCGGTCCCCGTGCACCGACACCCGGTGATCCCTGTGTGGTGGCAGAGAGCATGTGGCACGTCCCCTGGCTGGTAGGCACAGGGGTGCCAGGAGCACTGTGACACCCAGAGCATCCCCCTAGGGCTGAGGAGCCCCTCTGGGAGCAGGGAACGTGTACCTTCTCCCCTTTGGCTCCGGAAGACCCCTTGGCTCCCTGTGAAGACATCAAGCCCCCAAGAAGGGCTGGGCAGTAGGTGACAAGGGCACAGATCCCACACCCCGACAGCAGCCCCTGCCCCCAGCATCCACATGCATCCTACTCACATCTTCCCCGGGATCTCCTGGCTCCCCGAATCTTCCTGGCTCCCCCTGGCAGGAGAAAACAAGGAAAAAGTAGATGTATGGGACAGTGGATTGGGGGAACAGCTGCAGCTGGATCCCCACACTATGACCAAGCAGCGAGGAAGCCCAGGGCCCCCAGAGCCCCCTCCTCACCATCCTCCAGGGTAGCACCCACCTTCTCTCCCTTGGGGCCTGGCAAGCCTCTGTCACCCTTGGAGCCCTGTGGGGGGAGAGCAGTGTTAGGGGAGGGGGCAGCCACAGGGCTGGCTTGTCCCACAGAAGGCAGGGGTGGTGGGAGGGGGAATGACGTTAATGGGGGGTACAAAGTTAATGTGGGGGGAAAAGTTAACGGGGAGAGATTAGGTTAGTGTGGGTGATGAGGTTTACGGGGCCAACTCACGGGCTCTCCCAGCACACCCTCCAGCAGCACTGGCTCTCCCTGCAGGGACACACAAGTGATCAGACATGCCCACAGTGGATGCCAGCACCCTGCAGGCCCCAGCCCGCCCCAGCTTTGGGGGCTTTGGCAGCTCCCAGGGGTGGGGGTTCCCCCACCTCCCACCCTGGCTCCTCACCTTCTCGCCTTTGGGGCCGGGGGGGCCAGCGATGGCCTGGGGCACAGAGGAGAGAGGGGGCAGGTGAGCAGGGCTGCATGGGGATGCTCCCCCTCATCCCAGCCAGGAACACCAGGCAAGGCAGCTCTGAACTCACCTGCCCCGGAGCTCCGGCATCCCCTGGCTCTCCCTTGGGACCAGCAGGGCCCGAAGGTCCTGGCATGCCCTGGCACAAGCAGCACAGCCCTCAGCCTCAGCCGCAGACACCCCAGGCTGAGCCTCGTGGGGCTCCCGCTGGGATGGGACAGGGTGAGTAGCAACATACCATCTTCCCAGGCATTCCTGCCTCGCCGTCCTTCCCTGGCACTCCATCCCTGCCCGGCACACCAGGCTTCCCACTCTCCCCCTGCAGACAGTAGGAGTGGGGCTGGGCCATGGGAGTCCAGGCAGCCCCCCAGGCAGCCCTGAGCACCCACAGTGAAGGCAACCAGGCAGAAGGGACACAACACACTCACCACTTGTCCCGGTTGTCCAGGGACACCTGGTGGGCCCTGCAATGGAGACGTGAGCAGAAATCAAGCAGCATCCCAGGCACGAGGAATGGCCAAGGGGCAGGTTCGGGGGGTTGCAAGTACCTACCCCTGGGCCAGGGGGGCCGGGGGGCCCTGGCAGCCCCATGCTGCCCTGGGGACCTGGCAAGCCCTGCAATGGAAGCAGCCTCATCAGAGAGGGGACAGCACAGCCAGGACCTTGGCTGCCCCTGAGGGAAGATGTGTTGTGGTGGGACTGGCTGATTTTGGAGAGGCTGGATGGCTTTGGAGGGGCCATGTGGGTGCTACTAGGGATGGTGTGAGTACTCACACGGATGCCGGAGCCAGGTTCCCCTGGATCACCCTGAAAAGAATGCACTTGCATCAACCCAAAATCGTTCCAACCCACCGGCTGCCACGGTCATAGCCATGTCTCCACACCTGGATACAGGCCAAAATGTCCCTCCCTCCAGCCCCAAAACTTCCCAAAATGTGGCCCTCCCTCCAGCCCTCAAATCTGGCAAGGCACCATTTCCTTCTGTCAGGTTGGAGATGGCAATGCCAATGCAGATGCCAGTGCCATACCTTGGTCCCAGCTGGGCCCTGGGTCCCTGGTGGGCCAGTGCTGCCCTGCAGAGAACAAGGAGACATTTTTGAGGTGGTGCTTGTTGCTGGCCCAGGACAGGGAGAGGGCAGCAGGACTGCTTGGTCCCAGCACTGCCGCCCCACCCCTGCTCCCTGGGGGAACACCATGCCTGGCTGTACCACCCTGGCATGTGGTACAGGGTGGCACCTTACCGGAGGTCCTGGGGGTCCTGGGTCTCCTTGGTTGCCCTGAAGGGAGAAAGACATGGGATCGGTACAGGGAAGGGTTTCCGCCAGTAGGGAAAGGAAACTGGGTGAGGAGACCCAGACAATGCCAGTGGCTCTCGAAAGCACCCACACCAATTAAGACAAGCCTAGATGGCTCCTGCTAAGATGCAGGGGGCCAAGCACCCACCCCAGCAGCAGCATGACCCCACAGCTTCACCAAGAACTCATGGCTAGGAGCCCCCAGGTGTGTGCTGAGATGGGGGAGGCACAGGGACACAGGGGACACACAGACACCTACCGGGCGTCCCAGCACGCCGGGGAAGCCTGGCAAACCCTGCAAAGAACCACATCAGAGTCAGTGGGCAAGCAGGAACACCCCACTTCCACACAGCCCTGCCTCCCTCCCAGGGATGTCCCCCATTCTTGGCATGTGGTACCCAGCCAGGGTGCTTATGGGGGGTAGGTGTGGGGGGAGGCTCCCATGCAGGCCTGCAGGGCCTGCATGGGGTGGGGGGAAAGGAGATGAAAGAGGCATGAACGCTCCCACTGGTGTTGGTGGAGGCTGGTGTGGGACCACAGGACCTTTCCCCACTCCCAGCCTGCATCCCTCCACCATGTCCCCACTCACCGGCTTCCCCTCAGGGCCAGCCAGCCCTCTCTCACCAGGGAGACCCTGGAGCAAGAGATGGAGACAGGGTCAGTGCCAGGCAGGGGTCTGAGGTCAGTGCTAGGCAGGGGAACAGTGCAGTACTCACTGGGGCACCATCCCTGCCCTTCTCACCAGGCTCCCCTCGGTCACCCCGCAAGCCACCTTCACCCTGCAGTTGGGACAGGCACAGAGTCACAGGACAGGCAGGGACCTTCCCATGATGTTTCAGGACGTGCTGACACCCAAAGAGGGGTGCCCCCAGCAGTGCCCCCATGCAGGGCTTTGCTCCATGAGCTGCTACTTTGGCAATGGGACAGTTATGACCTCAGACCTTATCTCCTTTGGGTCCCCGCTCGCCCTCGACTCCAGGCTCACCCTGTGTTGGGAAGAAGACAGATACCATCAGCCCCTGCTGCCTCTCTACCCTGCCATCATCCCCAGCCCCAGCTGATCATGTTGCCCTGGCTCAATTGCCTTGGCTGCCCCCCTGCTCCCTGCCCAGCCACACACCTTCGCTCCCTTGGGTCCAACGGGGCCACGCTCGCCAGGAAAGCCCATCAGGCTGCCCTCCACCACATCTGCCTGTGGGCAGGGAATAGTCAGGGCCAGCACCCAGGGGACCCCAGGAAGGTCCTGTCGGGGGCACAGCCCTCCCCAAGACCCTGTGCCAAGGGACTGGACATGACTATCCATCCCCAGAGGTGCAGGTTGGCATCCTGAGGATGGTCACCAGCAACAGCCATCACCTACCTTGGGTCCTGGGGGTCCTTGGGGTCCAGGCAAGCCATCCCTGCCCTGGGAGGGTAGAGAAATAGCTTGAGCACCAAAGAGGACAACAGGGCATGGGGGAACAGAGCCATCCTGGTATGGCCACTCCTGGCCTCCACAGGGCATCTGCCAGCCCGTTTGAGAGCCCTGTGTCCCTTTGAGAGGGGCACAACACAAGGGGAGATGGAGTGGACCATCTCCCTCTCCCAGCTCACCTGCTCACCTCGGTCGCCCTTCTCGCCCCGGTCGCCCTGTGAACACAACGTGATGGCTGTCACAGCGCTGTCCTCAAGCCCCTGGACCAGGTGCCCCAGCCTCCCCCTCACACTTCCACACACTCACCTTCTCACCAGGCCGCCCAGGTTCCCCCAGCTCCCCAGCCCGGCCTGGCACCCCGGGAATGCCTGGCTTGCCAGGCTCCCCAGCCTGCCCAGGCAGGCCCTCGGGACCCCGTTCACCCACGGCCCGGCCCATGGGGCCTTGGGGGCCAGGGGTGCCTGGGTCCCCCTTGTCACCTTTGGGTCCTCGTTCGCCAGGGAAGCCTAAGGAGCCCTGCAAAACATAAGCTGTGCTGCAAAGCAAGCCCTGCAGTTGTCAGTCTCCCCGAGCCTCCCAGCGCTGAGCTGGCTGCACACCCCTCCCAGCCAGAACAGGTACCACGAGTGGGGCAGCATGTTGGGGCTTGGCATCGAGCCTGGCTCCGCTCACCTCTCGGCCTGGGGGCCCCCTCTCTCCTGGATCCCCCCGACTGCCCTTCTGGCCCCGCAGTCGCTCCGACACAGGCAGAATTGAGTCCGAGCTCCCATCATAGGCACCTGTGAGCTCCTTCAGGGATGAAATCTGGGAGGGAGGAAAGACACACCAGTCAGGACATAAGTGCAACCCAGCTGTGGTAGCACCCCACAGCCCTGCTAAGCTGCCCTGGATTGCTCAGATCTCTCACCACCTCCCATGTCCCCCTCCTGCTGCCATGTGGCAGGAACAAACCCCAGCCCAACAGCCAGGAAATACATACCTTGATGCCAAGTGCTTCCAGGCTACGTTCAACATTCTGCAATAAAGACATTAAAAACCAAGTGGGTGTTAGCCTGCTCCCACTGTCAGGGCTGTGGACAGTCCTCTGTCCCCCAGAGCTGATGTCTCAGTCCAGCAGTAAGGACAGGGACTCACCACTGCAGTCCCAGGGTCTCCACGTACTCCAGGGCTGCCAGGTCGCCCCTAGGTTTGCAGAGAAAGAGGGAATGAAAAGACGTGCAGAGGTGCAGTAGGTGAGGTGAGCAGTGCTGGTGCTGACCTCAGAAGGTTTCAGAGTTAACACTTTTTGGTGCTGCCTGAACAGGGGCTGTGGTTGCCACCACTCTGGGGTGCTAGCAGCTTGTAAGGTTCAGTGCTGGGTACTCACCGGCTCTCCTTGCAGCCCAGGCTCCCCTGGGTCCCCCTGAAACACAGCAAAGGAGTCAGTGGGGCAGAGTCAGGCTGCCTGGCACCAACTGCAGCACTAGGGTCCAGCCCTGTCATCTTGGGAGCCTGCCAAGGACTTGTTCCCTCTGGCACAGGGTCCCCCAGACCTTTGCCTTGAGAGGCTCTGGGGCAGGAGCACACTTACCTTTGGTCCAGCCACCCCACGGAGGCCTGGGGAGCCCTGGAAGACACAGAGGGGACAAATGGCACGCAGAACCCATGGACACAGGGCAGTGCCCTGAAGGAGCCATGGACAGGGGTCCTGCCTGACTCCAGGGTCTGGTGTTGGGTGGCACTGTGGGCTCGAGAACTACGCACCTGGCCTGGGGGACCAACCTGCCCTGGGACACCGGGAAGGCCAGGGGGGCCGAGAGGGCCTGGCACACCTCTGTCCCCTGGCTCGCCCTTGGCACCACTGCGGCCCTGATGAGAGAGCTGTGTCACCCCCAGGACCTGGGACCCAGGGATATGTACTCAGCAGCCCCCATCAACACACTCCTCTGCAGGGAGTACTCACCTCTCTGCCAGGTGGTCCTGTATCACCTTTGTCTCCCTAACCAGGAGAGAAAGGAGTTAGAGGGATGTTGCCCCATTCACATGCCCCAAAATGATTCTCCTGGTCCAGGCAGGGAGGAGCCACCAGACTTGTGGGGATCACAGGGGGACTGTGCAGGGACCACACAGGGACATGGCTCATCTCCTTACCTTTCTCCCATCCTCTCCTGGCGTTCCATCTTCTCCCTGGGGACAAAGGCTGCCAGTCAGAGCCTGACTTGACCATCTCAGCATGGGCACCACACAGGACAGGGGGTTGGCTCAGAGCTTTGCCACATCCTCCCCTTGCCTTTATGTTGTACTGGGATCACTGTCCCTCAGCACCCCGGGAGAGCTCCAAAACCCAGCCCTGGTCCCCCTACTCACGTTCTTGCCGTTGAGGCCGGGTTTGCCATCCTCACCGGGTTTGCCCTGGGAGGAAGAAAAGGCAGTGAGAGAGGCCCCCTAGCTCTCCACCAACCAGGGGCCCCTGGGCCTCACTGCAGCCCCAGAGTACAGGGAACAGGGAGCTGGGCACAGAGCAAGCCTCGGAAGATGGATCCAGCTGGGATTCAGCAGAGGGCATGGGGCAGGATGTGTCCCCACGGTGTAGGGTGGCTGGTACTTACAGGGATGCCAGGTGGTCCCAGTGGGCCCACGGGGCCAGGTGGTCCCTGCTCCCCACGCAGCCCAGGCAGCCCCTGCAGGGAAAGGAGATGGAGGGAGCACAGGGCAGCAGGGCATCCATCTGCCCCAGCCAGCTCCGGGAGGAGGGAGTGTGACCAGGACAGTGGCACGCTGCTGGGTCTTTCCTGCTGCACTGCCCCAGACCAAGAGGAATGGAACAGGACATCAGTCCCTTGCAAGTACAATGGCCCCAGCAGGAGCACAAACAAAACCTGCCCTCTCCAGAGGTACTTACATCCCGGCCAGGGTCCCCCTGCTTCCCCGGGTCCCCCTGCAGACAAGGAGAAGGTGAGAGCAGGGACACCCCTATCCTGCCAAAGGCCCCCCAAGGAACATCCCCAGCCTGGAGCAGAGGGTGTCCAGGGGAACAGCTCCTCCCACACCATCGTCCCTCCATCCCACAGCTCCCACCTGCAGTGCCCAGGGACAGCCATGTCCCCCACCCCGGACCATGCTCACCCGCAGCCCGGCAGGGCCCGGTGGCCCAGGTTTGCCTTCCAGCCCATTGCGGCCATCCAGACCTGGTGGGCCGCGTTCTCCCTGTAAGAGAGTAGGGCAGGAGTGTTGGAGCTGTGAGATGGGATGGTGGTGTCATGGGGCAGCCCCCAGCGCCCAGTCCCCTCACCTTCTCTCCTGGAAGGCCTCGGTCCCCAGGGTCACCCTGTGGAGTGGGAAGAGCAGTGAGCATCATCTCCCATGAACAGGAGATGAACAGGGCACAGGTCCCCTGCCCAGATCCCTGTGGGAATGGGGACACTCACCCGTGCACCGGGGGAGCCACGGGGGCCCTCCACACCCTGCAAGAGAGAGACACGCTCAGCACTGAGGCATGGGGGGAATAGGAAGGGATCCTGGGTGCTCACCAGCCACCCTCTGCACACCAGGATCCCCAGTTCTCCTGCAGAACATCATTGCCTGCCGTGCTGTCCCACCACTTCCCACACCAGGGACCCAGCACCTACCCTCTCTCCAGGCAGGCCAGGGGAGCCGGAATCACCGCGGGCACCCTTCGTGCCATCCTCACCAGGGTCCCCAGGGTCCCCCTGCCAGGGAAGGGCACGGTGGTCAGAGGGTACTGCCCTGTGCCGAGCCCGTGCCTGAGCACACGCTGAGCACCTCTGTGGTTTAAGGGTGGGATGATAGCAAGGGTCTCAAAATAAGAGATTGAAAAAGAAGTGGCTGGACTCAACACAGCCCCTGAGGGGCCAGAGAGCAGTCACAGAAGAAATGCACTGGGCAGCACTGCTGAGCCAGGAGCCAGCTTGGCCATGGTTTGGGACCATGATGCCATCCAGCACAGAGCACAGCCAGAGGCCAAAACTGCCCTGACCTAAGCTGGGCCTTAAATGCAGAATGCCAAGAGTGTGGGGTGCTGCCACAGGACCCCTGTGGGGCTGGGGAGCTAGGAGCATGCTGGCTCCTTTGGGGACCTCAGCCCTACAGGGACCTTGCAAAATGGCACCCTCCTTTCAGCACTGCGCAGGAGCGTCAGTCCACATGTCCCCCAGATCCCACATGTCCCCCAGATCCCACGTGCCCCCAGATCCCACGTGCCCCCAGATCCCACGTGCCCCCAGATCCCACGTGCCTCTCAGCTGTGGTGCACATCAGCTCCACATGGCAGGGGCTGTTTTGGGCAGAGAGGGCTTGATGGACCATGATCCCAGTGCCCAGGCAGAGTCCAGCAGGGGACAGAAAAGGGTATCCCAGCACCAGCATCCCAGGGACTCACTCATTACCTTCTCACCCTTTTCCCCCGCTCCTCCAAGCCCCACGTCGACCTGTGGGGCAGAGAGGAGCTGTCAGAGCACTCGGGGCAGGGCAGCAGCCCATTGGCAGGGAGAAGAGAGGGCAAAGCTTACAGTTCGTCCTGGGGGTCCAGTAGGCCCCTGAAAGAAGGGCAAGGGAAATGGGTTAAGAGGAGTTGGCATGGGCCCAGGGAGGGCAGGACTGTCTCTGGGGTGGGGGCCACACATGGCCCTGCGTCACTCACCGGCTCTCCACGGTCACCCTTGTTCCCTGGTGCTCCAGGGCTACCCTGTGGGAAAGAGGGACTGGGTGAGAAGGGGAGAGAATGGGGGACCCGTGGTGTGTTGGAACCCCTGGGGTAAGTGTGGGTGCAGGGTGATGGGGTGCAAGGTGTGGTGGTGCCCATGGAGCAGTGGGCACACACGAGGGGGTACTCACGTTCCTGCCTTCAGGACCTGGGTCCCCTGGGTCACCCTTCTCCCCAGGGAGGCCACGGTAGCCAGGGAGGCCCTAGTTGGAGGGCAGAGGGAGGGTGTGCATTAGCAGGAGCCACCCCAAAGGCCACAGGCATCTCGCCTACTCCAGGGTGTCCCCCAGCCCTGCACTTACCCGGGGACCCCTGTCTCCAGGTTTGCCAGGTGGACCTGCTTCACCCTGTGGGGAAAGAGGGGGTGAGTGGGGGGCAGTGGAAAGGGGGACAGTGGTCCTGGTGGGCCCTCACTTACCGGGGTGCCTTCGTCACCCTTCTCTCCTGGTTCTCCCTGTAGCACAGGTCAGCAGGCACCAGCCAGGGTAGAAAAGCACAAGTCACCAGCATCCCCCTGCTCCCTGACAGCCCCTCATCTCCTCGGGGCCACAGTGCCCCATGGCCTCTGGTCCCACCTCCCTTTTGCCCCATACTACCTCCTTGCCTCGCATCCCAGTCTGCCCCGGGGTGCCCGCTCGGCCCGGCTCCCCCTTCTCCCCTGGCTCCCCCGGGTCGCCCTGGGCAAGGGAAGAGGCAACAGGTCAGGGCAGCATGGGGGCAGCACAGGGGCTGCCAGAGGGAGAAGAGGCACAGCCTGCAGGGACAGTCCCTCCAGAGTCCGATGGACAGATGGATGGATGGACAGATGGATAGAAGGCAGAGCTTCCTGCAGTGATAGTACCTTCGGGCCACTCCTGCCTGTGAGGCCAACGATACCCTGGTTGTTGAAGAGAAGAGCATGTGTCACCAGGAATCTCAGTGACCCCGTGCCAGGGTAGGGACCAGGACCATAAGCCAGTGCCCTGGGGTGCACTCAGACTCACCCGATCGCCCTGCTCGCCTTTGGGACCGGCTGGTCCCGGGATGCTCAGGCCAGGGGCGCCCTAGACACAAAAGGATGCAGCGTGGAGCAATGGCACAGGCACCATGAGTCCAGGGAGGTCTGTGCTATGTGCTCTGTGCCTTCCATCCTCAGGCAGTACTCACACGGGCACCTTTATCTCCTGTATCGCCCTTGGGGCCAGGAGGTCCTTCTGGTCCTGGGAATCCTCTGTCACCCTGGAGCAAACAAAATCAGCACGTCAAACCACCCCCTTTTTCCCCACTGCAGCTGTGTACAGCCAGGCCTGGGACTAGGACAAGCATCTCCTCAGGTCAATGCCTAGCTGTGCAATCCCCCTCCCAGGCCATGGCCATGCCCAGAGGATGCTGTTGCAGGACAGGAGGGCACAGCTAGGGCAGGGTTACCTTCTCTCCTCCAACACCAGCCACGATAGGAGCCTGGGGGGGGAAGCAGAGGAGACCGTACTGGGTGCTGCCCGTTGCTCCCTGTCCTGGGGCTGGGACAGGCAGAGGTGGACCCGCTGGGCAGTATCACTTACTGGCTTGCCAGGTGGTCCTGGATCGCCCTGTGGAAACACAGGTGTCATCGCCAGCACCTTCCCCACCCATCCCTGCCACCCCACTGGGACCCCACTTTGCCCTCACCTTCTCTCCACGGGGGCCAGTCAGCCCTGGAGCTCCCTGTGGCAAGAGAAGAGACCTCAGGGGCTGGAAGTGCCTGGGGACATGCCCCCAGGGCATGGCAGCCCCTGCTCCACAGCACCATGACCGCTGCCTCAACTCACCTCTCTGCCTGATGGCCCTGGGCGCCCCGGGGCTCCTGTCTCACCCTGCAGGACAGGAGGAAGAGGAAGGTGTCAAAGGAATCCTGCCACCCCATTCCAGGGTGGCTGCTCCAGTGCAGAGCAGGCATCACTCCAGCATGGCTGGAGTCACCCCAGCACACTTACCTTCTCACCCTCAGGGCCCGGCACACCACGGTCCCCCTGCAGAGCAAAGCAAAGGAGGGTTTCAGGGAGCCTTCCTCCCTCTATGCCACACTATTCCCACCCCACACTGCCCCAGAGCCCTTCAGAGCCCAGCTGAGCCCCAGAATCCCATCCAAGACCACTGGGTTCTGACAGCAATCCCCAGACACAGCCGCCACGGAGCCACAGGGACATCAGGACCTGCCAATGCTGTTGAATGGCACAGTCCCTCTCCAGTGCCATCTCACCTTCTCTCCCGTCTCTCCCAGCTCTCCTGGTGCCCCACGGTCTCCCTGGTGCAGGAGGAAAACAGGGTCAAGGGCAGCAGGACCCATGGTGGGACATCATGGGTCCTGACACAGAACCCAGAGCCCTTCTCATCCTGCCGAAGGCAAGGTGAGAGCCTCCCTTCAGTCCCTGCACCACTCACCTTCCTGCCCTGCTCCCCTGGTGGTCCCCGAGGGCCCTGCAAAGGAGGGTAGAGACTGTCCGAGGCTGTCCAAAGCAGGTGCCCTCGGGGCTTGGCTCACCAGCATGGCAGCTCCTGCTCGCCTTACCTTCTCTCAGGAAACTCACCCGATCTCCTGGGTCCCCGGGGCGGCCAGGCGACCCTGGGAAACCTTCTGTGCTATCACCCTGGGGATTAGGAAAGGTGACAGCCACTCCCATGACAGGGGGATGCCCATGAGGTGGGGATGGGAATCCCCCCTGGAGAGTGGTGTGAGGTCCAGCCCCAGCAAGAGAGCATCCTCTCTTACCTTCTCTCCCTTCAGGCCGGGGGGCCCGGCAGGTCCCCGGGGCCCGGGGTCCCCAGGCAGGCCCTGCAAGACAGAACAGCTCAGCCCCTGGGGATGCAGCTTGGCCCTGGGGACACACGGCCACTGCAGCCCTGCTCCCTTCTGCTGTCCCTGCTGGCCTAGGGGCTGGACTCACCGGGGATCCAGGCTCCCCTCGAGGTGCTGCCCCATCCACAAGTCCAGGGGGGCCCTGCAGAGACAGGGGTCAGCTCCTGTGTGGTTGCACTGGGGGCTCAGTCCTTCCCAGCACCCTGAAAGGCTGCAGTGCCCTTGGACATTCAAGGGACCTCTATTCAGGAGGGCAGAGGAGTTAAGGAAATGCAGAGACACTCACCCTTTCCCCTCGGTCACCCTTTTCTCCCTGTGAGGGCAAAATTGCAAATAAGGGCATGTCCATGCTCTTCCCATGCCCTACTCAAATAGAAGGGGAACACACTGGGTGGAGCCCATCATCAGTGGTATCAGAGCACGTGCACACCATGTGCCTCTCCCCACACTGCCCAGTGCCAGCAACAGCTCACGCAGGTGTAAGTGTGTGCAGATACAGCTGGTGGGGGCACAGCCCACAAGCAGGACCAGGAGGAGTCCACAGGGGAGCAGCTCCAAGCTGCTGGCTGTTCTCCCATCCATCTGCCCACACATCCCCCCAGCCATTCCCACGCAGCACCGGGAGGATGTACCTTTACAAACTCTCCTGGAGGTCCTGGTGGCCCCATGGGTCCAAGTGGACCGGGAGGGCCTGGATCACCAAGGGGCCCCCGTGGGCCAGGGATCCCAGGGGGGCCGGGGTTGCCCTGGAGGACAGAGATGCTCCATTAGCTGGGCCTGTGACATGGGCTGGGGGTTCCATATCCATACCCCCAGACCTACCGGCACACCTGGCTCCCCTCTCCGGCCTGGCAGTCCCTGTTCTCCGTCTGTGATCACCCTGGCCTCTCCCTGAACAAGGACAGGGAGGAAAAATCAGTGTTCCCATGTGCCCTGTTGTGTCCCCAGTGCAAGACAGAGACCACAGTGCCACAAGGCCAGGAGTCTGGCAGGGAGATGGGGAGACCCTGGGGTCACCCAGCCACCAAGTACCAGGAGATGCCAGGGACCAAGATATGCCCACCAGGGTCCCCACTGCTCCCCAGGGACCCCCATGGGGCAGCCCCTGCTCATCACCTACCGGTTCGCCTTTCTCCCCCTTTGGGCCAGAAAGTCCCATTGGCCCCCGTGGTCCCTGGAAAGGAAAGATGAGAGTGAGAAGGGGTGTTGGGTGTGAGTGGGTCTGGGGAAGGCTTAGGGCCATACTCACAGGATCCCCTCGGGGACCAGGGACTCCCTGGATGCCCTGGAAAACAACAGCTCAGGAGGTGAATGCATGTCCCTGCCAGCTGGGGGAGCAGGGATGGGATGGCATGGCATGGCATGGGATGAGATGGCATGGCATGGCATGGGATGGCATGGCATGGGACGGCATGGCATGGGATGGGATGAGATGGCATGGCATGGCATGGGATGGGATGGCATGGGATGGGAGCTGCAGCCAAAATAGGCAGAGATAGTCCCTTCCCAGTACACTTGGCCTGGGTACACACACAGGAGACAGCAGTGACTTTGCCAGCTACTGAGACAGTACAAGGAAAAGGTAGGCAGAGGCCGGCTCTGGCAGAGGGAGCAGGCAGGGTGATGGGAAGAGCCAACCATGCAGCAGCAAACCCAAGGGACACCCCCACTCACCGGCTGCCCAGGTGATCCAGGATTCCCTGGGCGTCCAGGGCTTCCTGGTGTTCCATCGGCTCCAGGGAATCCCTGCAGGACAGAGAAGCATCACACCAGCACCTGATGTTCCAGCACTGCCAGACCCCCCCAGTGCCCCAGGCAGTGCTGCTTCTGGCACTGGGAGCCCAGGGCAGCCCCATGGCAGAGCTGGGTTCAGGGGTGCCTTTCCCCTGTGTATTGAGCTGGGATGTGAGGGACCAGTGTGGGGCTGGACTGGGGCTCTTCAAGGGGATCCCTCCTCCAGCCTGGGTGAGGAGGAGAACAGAGGGATGAGGGGCACAGAGAGACCTTGGGGGCCAGGTCACTGTGCTCAGGAACCCTGGGGTACCTGGGTGAGGGAGTCAGCAGTACTCACCCTGTCCCCCTTCTTGCCTGGGCTCTCGATGCTCTCTCCTGGTGGACCCCGTGGCCCTGGGGGTCCTGAAGGGCCGGGCAGCCCATGGCGACCCTGGAGGGAGAGTGGAGAGGATGGGTTGGGTGGCAGGTGGTGGTCAAGAGGTGCTCCCTGTCTGCCCCTGTGGCAAGGGTTGGACAGGCTCTTGCCCCACTCCTGCCTGCTGGCAGGACAAAGGGACAAGGGAACAACAAGGACATGGGAACTATGTCACTGCCCCTGCCAGGGATCTGTCTCCCATCTCCCTCCCTTCAGCAGGATATTACCGGCTGGCCAGGGGGGCCTGGTGGTCCCACCCGTCCTTGTTGTCCCTGCAGAAACAAAGCCAGTGGTGAGCATCCCCTGTGGGCTGGCATCAGTGTGCTTTAGGGGATGCAGACACCCCCCAGAGCGACCAGCTGGGTGGGGACACCAAAGCACTCACTGCCTCACCACGGTCTCCCTTCTCGCCCTGCAAGCGGACAGAAGGAAGGGGTTATGGGCTGGCACCCCAGCTGTTCAACTCCTCACTGGGCAGCTTCCTCTGTGCATGGTAGACAGTGGGGATGCTCACCTTGGGGCACTGCACAGTGCAAGGCTTCGGCTTTGGCTCTGGCTGGTAAAGCAAGACAAGCCTGTGTGAACCCAGGGGTGGGAGAACCCCCTGGCTTATACAGGGTTGTCCCCAGTCCACACCCCCTGAGGCACTCTGACCTTACCCTGGTGGAGATAATGGTGCAGAGGTCATCGGTGAGCTCTCCCTCCAGCTCTGCCAGGTTGTCGCCATGGTAGATGTACCGTGGGTCCTCGCTGGTGACCATGCGCCGGAGCTGCTCCCGGTCTGCCCCCTCCAAGCCCACCGCCAGCACCTGCACCCCTAAGCCAAGAGCACCCTCAGCACCCCACAGAACTCCCTGCACACCCTGCTGGGATCCCATCCATTCTCACCCCCAGCCTTGACATCCCTGGCTGCAGCGATGGCATCGTCCCCAGAGGGGCCATCAGCCAAGACCACCAGCACTGCTGGCACCCTGGGCCGGCGCCCTGCGCCAGGGCTCAGCAGGTAGGTCCTGGCAAAGGTGATGGCTGCCCCTAGAGAGGGAGAAGGAGGAGGGGACAGTCAGCAGGATCCCGGCAGCCACTACCCCAGCTCCCAGGGCAGCCCCTCACCAATGGCATTGCCGCTGGGCTCCTCGTAGCGCATGGTGCGGATCTGTTCCAGCACGGCGGGCAGGTCACTGGAGCGGTTGAGGAGCAGCCATGGCAGGCTGCGGTAGCTGTATGTGGCCAGAGCCACCTGCAAGGGTGTAGAAGAGCAGTGGGCACCGTGGCCTGCCCATGCCCTCTGAGCCCCCACCGCTGCAGCAGCACCCTACCTGGGTGCCCTCAGGGCCCAGGCGCCCCAGGGCAGACACGGTGTTGGAGAGAAGGGTGCGGACAGTGTCGGCACCCGAGGAGCTGTCACGGGTGCCATGCACCAGAAAGACAACGTCACCGTGGGCATCCCTGCAGACTGTGGGCAGGGAAGGGGTGAAGCCACCATCAGAGGGGAGACAAACCCAGCCCATCCCTGCAGTGACCACACCGTACCTGTGCGCTCACTGACAGATGTCTCGGTGCCTGGTGCACTCCCCAGGAGCGGGCGGAGGGTGAAGGTGTAGCGCTGGCCCAGGCGCAGCCCGGAGACCTGCTGGGAGCTGGCAGCACTGGGCAGTGTCCGCCCCTTCTCCCCACCAGCTGCCGCCCAGAGGACAGTCAGGGGGATCAGTGTGCCCCCATGGGAATGCTGCCCCCCATCCTGGGGCCACCCATTCATCTCACCTGCAGGAGGGCTCCAGGAAAGGACGTAGCCAGAGGCACCGGGGACTGGGGTCCAGGTGAGTGTCACCGAATCTCTCCGCACCTCCGTCACCCGCAGGCTGGTGATGTGGCCTGAGGCAGCTGCCAAGGAGGAGGAAATGGTGTCCCAGCCCCACGGGGAAGCCCTCAGCCTGCTCCCAGCTCCCTCCCCAGCCCAAGGCTGGGACAGCCCAGTTCCTGGGTGCCCCTCTGGGCTCAAGCCATGTGTCAGGGAGCTGATGCCACCTTGGCACCAGGCAGTCCCTTACCAGTTATGGCAGTGACAGTGGCTGGTTTGCTCTCCCGGCTGCCAGCCAGGCTGGTGATGCTGATCTGGTAGCGCCGGCCTGGCTCCAGCCCCGCCAGGTCATAGGATCTGGAGGTGGCTGGGAGTTGCTGGCTGCGCTGGGGCCCCCCTACAAGGGGCAGAGAGAGGTTAGCAGGTGTGGGTGGGGGCTGTTGGGTTTGCAGGGGTGCTGGCTGGCCACGCTCACCTTCAGCCAGGCGCCAGACCAGGCGGTACCCGGTGCTGCCAGCCGCCGGCAACCAGGCCAGGCGCAGGCGGTGCTCCGAGGCTTCTGTCACCTGGAAGCCACTGACAGGGGTCAATGGGACTGCCTCCGCTGTGGGGCAAAGGGACAGGCATTAGGGGCAAGGGTGCCCAGTGCCATCCTGGAATGCTGTCACCTGCCCCAGCACTCACGGGTGGTGACGACAATGGAGACGGGGTTGCCCTCTCGGTTGCCAATGAGTGCCGTCACCTTCACAGTGTAGGAGACACCTCCCTCCAGGTTGGGGATGTCAAAGGAGTTGGTGTGTCCAGGAACTCGCTGGCTATTCTCCGAGCCCCCTGTCGAAGACTGTGGCATCAGCCCACCCACCCTGTCACACTCACAGCCCAGCCCCATCTTCATCCCACATTACCATCCCTACGGCTCCACACCACGCGGTAGGCAGTGGCTCCTGGCACACCAACCCAGGTGACACGGGCAACATTGCTCCTGGATGCCTGGACCTCCAGCTGGGTCACCGTCCCCACCTGCTCAGGTGCTGTGACACCAAGGGGGTCACTGTCACCAAGGTTCACAGCAAGTGGCACCAGACAGCACTGATGGGCAGGAGGACACCTCACCTATCCGTCCCGTGGCAGTGACAGGGCTGCCCTCACGGCCATCCATGATGGCCGAGACACTGACTGTGTAGACGATGCCAGCACGCAGCCCCTCGATGGTGAAGGTGGTGGGGTCAGCAGGGAGGACGCGGGATTGCTTCAGACCTAACACAAATGGCTGGGATAGGAAGGGCTCCGCCAGTACCACCACAGCATCTCACAGTCCACACACTCACCGTCACTGCCTCGCCACGTCAGCAGGTAGCCCCCAGCGCCTGGCAGCCCTCGCCAGGTGACCCGCAGCTGGCTGGGACCGGCCTCCGTCACCCGCAGCTCCGAGATGCTGCCCACAGCTGGGTACTCTGCACCCCCCCATGGCACCACAGCGTCACCTTGGGGAATCCAGAGGGACCCCAGAGCCACCCTGCCACCTCAAGGGGTTGCAGGGGGACAGAGGACAAATGCATGCTGGAGCGGGAAAATCCAGGACCAGCAATCCTGGTGCCAGATGTGGACTTACTGAGGCGGACGGGGAGCGTGGCAGCACTGCCCTCCCGGCTGCCTGCCAGCGCCGAGACACGCACCAGGTAGGTGATTCCCTCCCGGAGGTCACCCAGCTCCAGCCCCGTCTGGCTGCCTGGGATGCGCCTCGTCCTCTCCGTGCCATCTACCGGGAGCGGGGCAGTGCGGACCCTCAGTGTCAGCTGGTCAGGGTCCCCCAGGTGCCACCCCTGCCCATGCCCACAGACTCACCCTGGTTGTTGCGCACCACCACTTTGTACTCGGTGGCACCAGGGACGTTGGTCCAGCTCAGCCGCACCCACCTGCCCGATTCCTCAACAAGCCGCAGGTCTGACACAGCACCCACGGGCCCCTCCACACCTGCGAGGGGATGCGTGAGGCACAGCTGGAGCTGCACAGCCTGGACAGCACAGCCCCTCATAGTCATCCTGGGCAATGACCAGGCAGCTGAGGGGTCTTGTGGCCAAGGGGATCCCCAAGCTGAGCAATGCCACGTGGGGGACAACCCAGGGGACCCACAGCAGTCACTCACCTGTCTGGAAGGTGGTGACGGGGGTGGCCACCTCCCCACCATCATAGAGCGTGTAGAGGGTGATGCGGTACTCGGTGCCTGGCTTCAGCCCAGTCAGCTGGTAAGTATTGGTGCTGCTGGGGAGAGACACTGTTCTGGGGGGCTCTGGTCCTGTGGGGAGGAAAGGGTCACTGCCAGCTGCTGGAACGGAGGGTCCTCAGGGGCAACGGGCACCCTGAGCCCACCTGTGGCTCTCTTCCACTCTAGACGGTAGCCACGGGCATCACGGGCACTGGTCCAGAGCACCTGGATGGATGTGGGACCCAGGATGTTGGTCTGCAGCGTCTGGTCTGTACCTGCCTCTGCAAGAGGAACCCCATGGGCCAGGCTACCCTGTGCCACTCTGCTGCCAGCCACAACGCCAGCAGGTCTCCAGTCCCCACACACAGCAGGGTAGGCAGCATGTGGGGCGATGGCAGACGGTCCCAGCCTCATCCCAGGGCAGAGTACAGGCCAGCAGAAGGATGGCATCACCTGTACCCAATACCTACCTGTCCTCTGCCGCACGGTGGCTGTGGGCCCCTCCAGTTCCCTGAAGAGCGGGGCCACTGTCACCACATAGTCGGTGTTGGGCTGCAGCCCCACCAGAGCATGTGACGTTCGACTGGCATCCAGGTCCACCCTGTGCTTGTCCTGCCCTGTGGGAGCCAGTGCAGCAGTCCCTTGGGGGCTTTGGGCAGTGGGTGCCACTATCCCCCTCCTGTCCCTCCTCTTAGGGGCCACAAGCTCTGGGACAGGCACCTACCTGCGAGGGTTGCCCAGGAGAGCCGGTAGCCGGTGGCACCACTGACAGGCTGCCAGGCCAGCAGCATGCTCTGTGCTGAGATGTTGTGGACAGCCAAGTGCTGCACACCCACTGGATGTCCTGCAGGAAGAGAGGTGCCTGTCCATCCCCCACATGAGAGGGGCAGGGTGAATCACCTTCATTTGCAAACTGCCTGCTTCAGGGGCAAGAAGCCCCTCTTGCCCCTGCTGACGGATGCTGAACTGCACTGAGGTCACCGAGTGCAGCCCTCGCCCAGGCGGCTCCTTCAAAGCACGAAACTCCTGCAAAGTGGAGCTCAAAGCCTTCCTCTTAATGCCTTAAATACTTTCTGTGGGTTAAGACTGCCTGGGGCAGCTGAAGGAATTGGTTTGCCAAAATTTGAGGCTTGTAAAGGTTTTGCCCCGGGGGCCTCACCCTCACTTCTACTCGCTTTCCACCACTCTCTTTCCTGGTGGAAACCACATTTTCCTCCTGCAGAGCACCACACTCAAATTAAAAAAAAAACACCACTGCATTTTTTCAGTCAGAATTTTTTACGTCATGTGAGGAAAGCTCTGGTCAACACACTCCCAGAAGGCTGCAAAGGAAATTGGAAGTGCACAGTGCTGCACCCTGCCCTGGGACCAACTTTTGGGGCTCAGAGCATCACCTTGTAGTCATGCTTACCTCCATCCCACCCCCACAGGCAGCAGTGGGCCTGGCAGCCCCATCCCAATGAGGCACAGTGACTGGAGGGACTGTGCTGGGAACCCATCCCTAACCCTGGCTGAGCCCAGGGCCAGGCAGTGCTTACGTGTCCGGGCGGTGAGGGTGGCAGGGACAGCAGGCTGCTGTGCGTAACGGGGTCGGAGCATCACCACGTATTCCGTGTCGGGGCGCAGGTTGCTGAGTGTGGCTGATTGTGCACTGGCCCCCAAGCTCTTCTCCTCCCCCTGGGCTTCTCCTGAAAGGACAGCAGAGGAGTGTGGGTGGGAGCAAGGACATGGAACACACCAGGCCCGGCAGGGAAGGGGTGTTTATGGGCTGGCATCCTGCCCTGAGGATGCCAGTTGTTGCCAGGGGTGGGGAGTACCGGGAGAGGCTGGGACATGGGCCAGGGCAGGGGCACCCCTTGGATCACCCAGGGCCAGGGTGGGGCTGCCAGGTGTGCAGCTTCAGCCCAGCCCCTGGCTGGGACGGGGGTCTGCTGCCTGCCCCCCCCATGAGCAGTCATAGGGGCAGATATGTGCCTGTGCTCCCAGCCCTGAGTTGGGGTGCACACATCAGGCCCCTGGCCATCATGCACACCCAAGCACACACCCTGAGCCTTGCGCATGAAGCCTCCAGGAGTACACAGGCTGCCTCCACAGCCCTGCACACACGTGTGTCCCACAGCCCACGCACGCGTGCTGGCTGCTGCAGCAAAGGCAGGCGTGCACACACCCACAGCACTCTGGGCATGCATCCCTGCATCAACCCCCATCCATGCACTCCCCCTGCCCATGGGGCTGCTGTGCAAAGGCAGGGCATCTGGGCAGCACCGACCCTCGTAGGACCATCCCCTCACCTTGCACAGTGTAGCTGAGGCTGTAGCCCTGGGGGAGCTCAGGGCCAGGCTGCCAGGCCAGCCGCAGGAAGGTTGGTCCAGTCTCCACCACGCGAAAATCCAGCATGGAGCCAGCACGGCTTTCTGGGGGCAAACAGGAGCAGGGATGAGCTCCCAACCTCATGTGCTGTGGGCACCTGGTGCCTGTGCTCGCCCCTGTCCCCAAGTGTATGGACACTCACGGGTCCGTGCTCGGCTGGACACTGACTCGCCGATGCTGTTGGCATACTGGGCGGTGACAGTGACCAGGTACTCCGTCCCCACGCGCAGTCCCCGCAGCACAGTGCTCGTCTCCCGTGGCCCCAGACTCACCTGGGCAGGAAGAGTGTCACCCCCTTGCCATCCCTAGGTCACATGTAGAGCCACCAGGGACCCCCAGGAACTCTGAGCAGCCAGGTAGGAGCACTCACCTCCTGCCTCTCTGCCATGATCGGCTGTCCCAGCCCTGTCAGTGGCACGTGTTGCACCCGGTAGCCAGTGACGGGACCGCTGGCTGCCGTCCAGCGGATCCGCAGCTGGTCAAAGCCCCGCTCCAGGATCTCCAGGTTGGAGGGGCCGGTGTGGGTTTGCCCATCTGTGGGGAAGCAAGGGCTGTCGGTTCCAGGGTGCATGAGGCAGAGGGGAGACCTTGCTGGGGTAGCATAGACGTGTGTCTGTTGGGATGGGATGGCCAGGAGGGCATTTTGGGTAGGGATGGGTGCTAAGAGTGCACCCATGGTGAGCGCAGCCTGGCTCCTGTCAGGGAGGAGGATGGGGGCCCATACCCAACAGACGCAGAGTGCCCCCGACACTTGTGCACACCCTGCGTGTCATCAGTGGCACCAGCGTGCTCAGCAGCTTGAAGTCACCAACGTAGAAGAAGAAGGCTTCGGTAGGCGTTGAGGCCACACGAATTAGCTCCTTGTGGTCAGCGTTCTTAACCCCTGGGAGGGATGGAGATGATGGGTGAGGGAGGGACCCGAATCAAGCAGGAGACCCCCTCATGTGGAGCTGAAGCCTCGCTCACCCACGGCAAAGATCTTGATCCCCTGGCTCTTCAGCTTTGCTGCGGGCCCCTCGGCATCATCCTGGGACTTGCCATCTGTGATGAGGATGCAGATCTGTGGAGGCCGGGCAAGAGACATGAGACCCAGCATGGGGCCCATGGACCCAGTACTTCTCCCCATGTTGCCAGAGCCTTGCACGTACCTGGGGGACCCCGGGCCGGAGCTGTGTGGGGCCAAAGAAGTTGTCAGCAACGTAGCGGAAGCCAGCACCAGTCCGCGTGTTGCCGCCCTTGTAGCTCAGCTGCTGGATGGCCCTCCGGACACTTGTGCCATCAGTGTGCTGGGAGAAGGTGAACTCCACCCTGGGGGCGTGCAGAGGGACAGTGTCACGTCCCAGTCCTGCCACCCTGCTGCCCCACATGCCCCCTCCCCAGGGCTCACCGTGGGTCATCACTGTACTGTGCCACGGCAAAGCGCACCGCCTTCTCACCCACCACCTGCACAAAGGGCCCCACCAGGTCATCCATGAAGGTGCGGACGGTGCGGAAGTTGTTCCTGCCGATGCTGGATGAGCCATCCACCAGGAAGGCGATGTCAGCCTCCAGCACATCCTCGCACACGGCTGTGGGGCAGTGACAGTGCTCAGGGCATGGAACAGCAAAATGGCACGGTGGTGCTGGCCCTCTCTCATCATCCCACCTCTTTCATCATCAACCCAATGCTCAGCACCCACCTTGGCTCCTCTTCTGCGCCATGGCAGGCAGAGGACCCAGGAGCAGGGGAAGCACAGCCAGGAACAGGAGCTGGCCACTCATCATGGGAGCCTGCAAGAGAGGATGCTGCCACCATTGCCCCACAGCAGCCCCACACCTCGGGGACAGCAGTCCGGGAGGTTCCCAGTACCACCTGTGCCAGGACGCCTGGCAGCATTGGGAGGGCGGGGTGCCAGTGCCGTCCCAGGCACCCCACGGCGCAGGGAGAGCCCCGCTTCAGGCCGGGGCAGGCGGGCAGCAGCTGGCCCGTGTACACCCGGTGGGGTTGCCCAGAGTGCGGGAGATACGGGCAGCGCCTGGCCCCACTCCAGCCCTCCTGGTCCAGCCCGGGCTCTGCCTCCCGCCAGCCCTTCCCCTGCCCATGCCGCGGCACCGGCAGCAGCGCACCCCGGCCGCCCCTGCCTCCTGGTCCCCTCACCGCCCACAGGGGCTCCCTCCGCCCCAGGAAAGTGCTGTAGGGCAGCGGGGAGCCAGCGTGGGCAGCCCTGCCCGCCAGCCCCACGCCCCGCCGCTTCCCACCCACGCGGCGCCGGGGCACACCTGGCCCGACACCCCCGCGATGGCCACGGCGGGTCCCAGCCCCAGCACCGCCCGGCCCGGGCGGAGCGAGCCCCGCCGCGGGAGGGTGGGCGAGCGCCCGCGGGTGCCCGCGCGGGAGGCTCGGTCGCCCCGCAGCGCCGCCCGCCCGCGGCGGGACCCCCGGCCCGGCCCCGCGCTCACCCGCCGTCCCCGCGGGGACGCTCCGTCCCGCACCGCTCCGCGCCGTTCCGTGCCGAGCCGAGCCGAGCCGGGCGCAGGCGGTGCCGGCGCGCACCGGCCCCCGGCGCTCCCGCCCCTTTATGGAGGGCGGCCCGGAGCGCGGTCCCGGGGGGGGAGCGGAGCGGCGCGGCCCCCGCCCAGCCCGGCCCCCCCAGAGGGCTTTTCCCACCCGCTCCCCTGGGAGGGAAGAAAGGGAAGCGGCTCCTCGGGCTGTCCCCCATCAAGTGCCGCCCTTGGCTGCACCACGCACAGGGGCTGAAGGGCTCCGAGGCCAGGATGAAGCAGGAGAGGGCTGGACCCCGGGGAGCGTTTCTGATGGACTTTCTGCCGAGACCTCGTTGAGGGGCCGAGTGGACTCCAGTAAGGCCCAAGGCAGTTTTCCCTCCAGCATCTGCATCCTCCGGGAAAATGAGCAGCTCTGGGACCTGCCAGCCAGGAGCTGGCTGCTCACCTCCATCCATCTCAGGAGAATGTGACACCAGGGCCTCACCTTGGGCAGAGCTGGATGGAGCTGCCACAGGGACCTGAGCCCCTGACCCCCTCTGTGTTAGAGGCTGACTCTGAGCACCAGCCCTGGGAAGGATGATGGTGGTGAAGGGCTGCTCCCCACACCAGCAGAGCTCCCACAAGGCTTCAGGACCACCAGGCCTTGGCTGGGACCTTTCCTGCCCCCACAGCTTGGGGGCAGGAGCACGTAGGGCTCTAGTACCCACAGTTCTTGTACAGGAACTGCCCTGGAGCCATCTGTGGGGCATCCTCCTGCCCTGCTCTAGACATCATCTCCCAACAGTTATCAGAGCAGACCAGTACCTGAAACCTACCCCAGAGCTGGAGAAACTGGCCACTGAAGATGTGGCTGCAGTTGCTGGGAGGAGGCAATAGGGAAAAGATGCCCAGCAAGGTGAGCAGGGACCTCATGTTGCCCTGGTCTCACTTCCTGCCCACCCAGTGACTGGTGGAACTGTGCCCTGGGGCTCCTCCACAGCCCAGGGTGCACCCCTGACCCTCAGGGCGCCCCTCACCCCCAGGGCACCCTGTGGGGCCACACTGCTCCTTGGGGCACATCCCACTGCACCCCATCCTCCCCCCTGGTGTCTGTGCTCACCTGAGGCTGACCCTGGCTCATGGCCCTGCCCTGCACCTCACGCCACCTGCGCTCTGTCCCCTTGGTCACCCAACATTCCCCTGTCCCCAGCACCTCACATACCTGTGCCCTCCCAGCCACCGGTGCAGGGGCTCCCCTCCGGCTCCTGGCAGGGCAGTGGGTAGGTCCCGGGGCATCTTCTTGCAGGCAGCAAGGAGAGCGACAGTGGGGGTCGCTGGGACCCAGGGCCACCTCACAGCTGGGGGCCCGGGGCAGGGCCACCGGCCACGGAGCAAAGATGCTCCAGGGTCGGCTGTAGGCAACTTTCCCAGGCACACGCTGTTCCCGAGCAGGGGAGGAGTGGCGATGCCCCAGCTCTTCTTAAAGGCGCAGCAAGCAGTGCATCCCCTCCTCTTCGTTAGCCCTCCTCTCTTTAGACCCCAGCCCTGGCCCCCACACTTGGCCGAGGGGTTCCGAGGTTCACCGTGGTCACAGGTTTCCCCCTGCCTGCCCCAGCCCTGTGAGTCCGGCCGTGAGTCCCGCATCCTCAGGTCAGGACCATCCCCAAACCCTCCTCCCGCCAGAGCTCGTTTAATGAAGACAAGGCAGCCTGTCCCAATTAGACAAGGGGCTTCGTTAAACAGGGAGCGGAGGGGCCTGCCAAGGGCGCTGTGTCTGGCCCCGGGCCCGGAGCTGGTGGAGCAGCCCCAAGGCGCAGTGCCGGCGACAGGGCACGGGCGGCCGGGGGTCACCCCGGCAAACGGGGGCAGCGCTGGGGTGAGCATCGCCCAGAGGGCACCGCAGGCAGCGGCACCGGGACAGCGACACTTCACAGCCATGCCAGGGGCTCTGCCTGCCACCTCGGCCCCCACGACTGTGGAAGACACCAATTTGGGGTGGTCCCAAACCCCAATCCCCCATGGACAGCATCTTGACCATCTTGCCAGCAGCATTCCGTTTACGTTGGCACTGGATGGGCGTACGCAGGTGTGCTGGGTCCCCAAAACCAGAGTGCCTCCCCCTCTGCGGTGTTTCCCAGCTTCCCCTGCATACCAAGGCCAGGGAAGGAATCCGCGGCCCGCGGCGCGGGACGGTACTGCCTCTGCAGAGCGAGAGCACCAGGTGCGAGTGACTCACGCGGCGCACCGCGCCGCTGCAGCCTGTCCCTCCGGGAACATCCCGAGAGGCTGTCAGCCCTTCCTGAAGCCTGGCAGGCTGGCAGCCAGGCCACCAGTCACTCCTGTAGCCCAGACTTGGGGTTCCCCATCTCCCAGCTGGCTCAGCCCCAAAGCACGCTGACTCCTCTTCCCTGACACTAATAAAAGTTTGTAGGGCTGACCCTGACCCCAGCTTCCTGCCTGTGCATGCCATCCTGGTCCCCAAATGCCACTCACCAGCCGATCAGATCACAAGAAGACAAAAAACATATCCCCAGGTCCCACTGACCCTGCTCAGGCAAGCAGGAGGTCACGTCACCCCCAGGCATAGGAGCCCCCCCAGTTTGAGAGTGCACACAAGGGAAGCACCAGGGCTGAGCTTCTCCTTGCCCACACTTGCCAGGCGTGAGGCCTCACCGCTGCTTTAGTGGGAAGCAAGAAGTGAATCTGTTTTCTTCAGCCCCAGGTGAGGTTTTAGCTCTCTCGGGTGGGATGAGTCATATATACAGCATGGTGAGATGCTGCACGGTGAGACGGGTGCTGGGATGCAGAGCTAGCTGTGCTTGGGGTGCTGTGGGGTCTGTGTTCTATCCTCTGCTCACCCCCTCCACATCCCACAGCCACTGCCTCTGGTGCTGATCCAACACAGGCTGGGATTCAGCACAACTCTTACAGGATTTCAGTTTTCTAGTCCTACAGTGATCCTGCAGTGCTCCTCACTACAGCATGACACAGGCCTTCCCCAGCCAGTGGGAATGCATAAGGCAGCTCTGTGGGTGCTGGGAGACAGAAACCCCCTCTCCAGGCACTTTTAAATTGGGAAGCTTTCAGACACAGGGAGCAGCGGGGAGCTGATGCTGAGGCGGGTGAGGAGAAGAGAAGCTGGCCAGAGCCTGGAGGGGGAACCTCGCCTGCCACAGGGGCCAGTTGGGACACGCTCCAGGAATGTCTCCTTGCACCACTCACTGCCAGCTCTATGCTGTGGCACCCAGCCACCCAGTACCAGCATCCTGGGAAAGGGGCCCATGACCCCTTGCCATCATCTCCAGTCAGCTCGGGGACAGCCCAGAGGGACAGCATCACACTCACAGTGCAGCCTTGGGGAACCCCTGTGCCACCCCATGGGACACCCCAGCAAGCCCAGGGGCCACAAAGTAGGCCAGAGTGGGTAACTCGTCACCCCTTACCTCCTACTGACCTGTTCCAAGGGATCTGGGGTGGGAGACAGCTGTGCCAGCCCCTCCAGGCTGCAATTCATGCAAGGGGAACAGACAGCAGACCCCCAGCTCCTCCATGCCGCAGGGGACAGCTTGCAGCACTCCCTATCCTGCTGCTGCCCATCCCTGCAGGAAAAGGAATCAAAGCCACATCCCTGCAGGAAAAGGAATCAAAGTATGACATCAGGGTGAAGCCATGACCCGCGAGCCGCCCGCTCTGCCCAGTGGCTCTGGGGATGCCCAAAGCGAGGGGGATGCTCCCAGTTGCGGGGTCGATGGAGGCAAGTGGTCCCACTGCAGTAGGGCTTGGTTAGGATGAGCCCACTGTGCCCCCAGATCAAGGCTCCGCGTGGGGTGGGTGCGTGTCCCAGCTGTCCCACAACTGCTGTACAAGGATGGGAAGTTTTTCCTGCCCATAAACTGTTTTGTCTGGAGGCTGCTGCCAGCACGGCCGCACACCGGCATCGCACGAAGCTGCACTGGAACGCGGCCAGGCCCTGCTGGCCACGCAGAACAGGCTCAGGGAGAACGGTAACACCATGAGGATGTAACCCCCCCTTGGCTAAGTCGGGCAGGAGAAGGCAGCCCTGGTCAGGAGACAGCAGGCTTGCTCTCAGGGACAGCGAGAGAGAGGAGAGCCAGGCACCGCCAGGGCTCTGCAAAGGGCCAGCGGTGCTTTGCAATGGCATGTGGCCAGCATGCCAGAAGGGGAAGGTGATGATGGGGATGATGGAAGCAGGATGAGGAGCCAGCAGCACTGCATGGAGTTCTAGAGTTGCCAGTTAACAACTTGCCTTCAGCTGCGTCCTGTGGCTGGGCTTTGGGTGATGCTGGGGCTGCACAGTGGCTGAGGGTGAGTGTCAGGGACCCAGGGAGAGGCAGGGAGAAGGGTTAAGCAGGCTGCAGGCAGGAGCTGCAGGTGACCACTCACACAGCCCGGCTCATCTGCAGGAATCAAGCTTCTCCACTTACAGAGGCAAGAGCTGCTCCCCTTCAGTCCTGGCCCTACAGCACCAACCTTGCAGCAGGGTCTAGGCTCGGTAAAATCAGCCTTGCTTGCCCTTGAGGATGAGGATGCAGGAGACAGTGGAAATGCAGGGACCAGTTGCAGCAAAGCTCCTTCAACACCTTTGTGTGAAGCTAATGCTGCTTTTCCTCATGCTGAGGATCCCATGGGGTGCTCATGCCCTAGAGATGCCCCAGATAGCCCAGCACACACAGCTATGGAAGGGAAACTCCTGCTTCTTCGTACGGGCAGATGAATTCCCTGCCTTGGGGTTATGAGGATCGAGGTGCTCCCAGCCCAGCCCTGGCTGCAGGGTTTGCAGGCAGCAGCAGGCAGTGTCTGGCAGCACCTGGGGCACAGCCAGGCTTGGGGTGCATGAAGGGAGACCCAGGGACCCAAAGCAGTGCAAGAGCAGGGACTGACAGAGCAGAGGGAGTGGTTTCCCCTTGGGTGTCTGCAGGAAGGAGGAGATGAAGGGAAGCCGAGGGAGTGCTGCCAGCCCACGCTGTGCACACTCAGGGCATGTGTAGGCTGGGCGGACGGTGCGCAGAGCGTGACTCGACACGCAGGGTGGCTGAGCCAGCCCGTGCCCGCCTGCACCCACCAGAGCTGCCCAGCCTGCCTGCTCAACCCTGCGGGGGTCCCCAGGGACAAGCATCATCGGCAGTGCAGCACCTCGGGCCAGGTGATGAGATGCAAAGGTGAAAGGTGGCATTCCTGCTGCCCTGTTCCAGGGAGAGCAGCCCGGGGCAAGGCCAGGTCACTGGTGCTTCCCTGCAGCGCTGGGGAAAGTGAGGGGATCATCTTACCTGCAAACACTAAGGTGCCATATCTCTGGCTGCCTCGAGCCCTCACCAGCATCCCTCTGGAAAGCTGTGTGGTAGATAGGATGGCTCAGCCCCTGCTGGGTGCCGGGGGCCTGTCACTTGGCCTTGCAGGGTGCTTGCCACACTGCTCCAAATCTGGCTTCCAGGGGCACACGGCTTCAGGGAACTGGAGGGGCACACAGGAGCCACAGCACTGCTCCCAGGTACCTCGCAGGAATGCAGACCAGCACCACGGGCAGGGTGGTACCACAGCTCTCTGCTTCAAACCAGATTGACCTGGGAGCAGCCAAGTAGGGGTGTCCACAGCAGCTCAGGACAGAGCCCAGCCCTGCAGAGCCGGGGCACTTGCAGCAGCACAGCAGCCCCTGCCACAAGCTGCCTGCCAGATCCCAAACCTGGCACTGCCCCCACACCACATCAGAGGGGACAAGCACCACGAAGCCATGGCTGCCCCATCCCTCCTCCCCATCCTGTGCTGGGCAAGGCATCACCACCTTCCCTGTCCATGGGAGCTGCTCTGCTGCCTAACATTGAGCTCTTCTGGGAAACAGCAGTTGCCCAGCTCCCAGTGTGGCACCCAGGGTCACAAAGCCAGCTGTAGCCTAACCTGGCTGTGGGAGCCCTCAC